TAACAGCATCTTACATCTTCACTAAACCTTTTAATAGCACTTCTGGTGCACTCCATAGAAGTACTCAAAAAAATACGATGCTGAGCCACAAAAGGACTTCTTAAAATCGATGACCGCTCAAAGAGGTGTCAATTACTGTTGATGACTGTAGAAGGTGAGCGTGTCCTCTGTCTCTAATACCCTGCTTGGTTACAATGCAGATATGTACATATTAATACATTTTGCAACTCAAAAGTGGTCAATATTTTACGTAGTAACTTGACAAAACTCTACTCACCAGCAGCCTTAATACTGGCACCATAAACTACCTGGCTTCCAATGTTTATATTTTGAAACTGTGCTACCTTATTCCAGAAAGGTCTTGGACTCTTGTGGATGGGTGAGCTGGTGACAGGTGTGAAAATCAGAAATTCAGGATGAAGCTTATACCCAAAGCGCTGGGCATTTCTTTGCCTGATGATTTTCCTCTAATTCTAAAACTTAATTATTTCAATTTTGTTGCATTCTTACTCCTCAATTTTTTACAATGCTTTCAATCACCACTTTTTGCACAAGTTCTTTCTGCATTTCTTTTTCTTTTGGTTGATTTAGAAGATGCCAGGCATGAAGAAAGGCAAGGAAGTTCTCACTTTGAATAAAGTGATGAGCATACTCATTAAATATTTGTGATCTGCTTGTGGGTTGAGTCAGTTATGATCACTGCTGACCGAGATTTAAGACTATCATTTATAATTTGTAAAGATTGACAAGAGGATTGACAAACGTTCTCTCTCCCTACTGTCACCTTCATTCCAATCCTTCTCTGGCTGTAAGCCCAGGCAATGTGCTTTGTGAAACATATAAAGGGAAAACACCCTACTCACTGAATGTTAACATTTTACCTTCCAACAAGACAAATACAGATGGTCTGCGTTATTCATTGTCTCAATATTTATTGTTTTGCATATATGCATCTATTTTATTTGGTAACAACCTTTGGCATTCATTCTGAGATAGTAGGAACTGCAGATGCTGGAGAATCCGAGACAACAAGGTGCAGGGCTGGATGAACACAGCAGGCCAAGCATCTGCTCCTATGATGCTGCTTGGCCTGCTGTGTTCATCCAGCCCTGCACCGTGTTTGGCATTCATTCTGTTGTTTTGCACTTGGGTCATTATTTCAGCGTTGCCGAAAATTCATTCATTAATTCCTATGGGAAGAAGTAAATCCCTAATTCGCATTCTTTTGCTATTTGTCGAATTTTTCTGAAATGTATCTATGAATAATGAGGACCCTCTGTATGACAACTGAAACATCCACTGTGGGGGATTATTCAGAAAAACCACCTTTGAGACATTTGACAACTCAGTCTCCCAACCAAAGAAAACTGTCATGGGTCATCTTTTTCTGCACTTCTAAATCTTGAAACAGCTGTATTAGATAAACTAGTTTAAAACTCTTTAGGGTTACCTTTAATCCTTAAATATGCAATATTCATAACCTTAAGCAAATAGTTCTCAAAAGCTGGAAAGATTAATCTGAATTGTTATACAGGGTCCTCATTATTCATGAGGAGTTTCAGAAAAAGCCCAATGAATAGTGAAGGAACAAAAACAGACTTATTTTCCGTAAGAATTAATGAATTAACTTCGACAACACGCTGCAATAATCATGCAAGTGTAAAGCAGTTGAATGGATACCAAAAATTGTTCCAATAAAATAGGGATGTATATGTGAAACTATGAATATTGGGAAAACACAAATATAATCAGAATTTGCTCACTAAGGAACAACATCACAGGAAAAACTGGGACACTTCAATATAGTTCATACAAAACAAGTAATTTCAAGCAAATATTGTCTGTTTAATGACAGCCCAAACCAAGAGACTTTTAAAATATCACAGTACCACCACTATGGCCCAGCAAAACTGTTAGGAGCAGAAATATCTTCAGGTGAAAGAAAACAAGGCAATGAAATGTTGGTGCAGAAGGAGAGAAAAAGTGCACCTTTCAATGGCATCGAGAAATTGAAATGAGAACAAACTCACAACTAAATGTGCTAATCATTTAATAGAACCATACACCAGGAAGTACTTTCTACAGAGGGTTTGAAAATCAAACAGAGTGTAAGTGGATTGGGTGGGCAGCAGGGCTAATTTATATATGGTTACGATTTCCATGGTGAATTCCTGTTCTGAAAGATAAATTTGATTAATTCCTGTGTATCTCATGTACACACATACTTTGCTGAAGTACACAATTTTCTCGAACAACATTCTGATTTTGCCAAGTTGAGATATTTCATATTGAGCGTGCGATTCTTACTATCAGATCACTGTTCAGCAGAGTTTTATTAGGTATGCCAAACAATACTCAAAACCAACGTAGAATTTGAGACATCTCAGGCTGTGGAAATGATAGAAGTTTATCCTTTGACATAAACTCTGATCATTGTCACAAACTATTGATAAGTGCTTTTGCAAAATTGGAAAATATTTATCTGTACATTGTTATATTTAAATAAAAATCTAAAGACATTTGAACAATTTAACGCTTTTTAATCTAGCAATCAGAAATCATTTTTCATTACAAATAGGGATTGCTGACAATTTGTTGTGCCCTTTAAAGATGAACTGTTTTAACATCTTCAAACAGGTTGATTAAAAATAAGATTGACCAGGTGGTTTACAATGAGGAAGGTAGTCTTGGGTTCCAGGAAAATAATGGACAGGTTTATAAGATGGGCAAATCAGTGACAGATGAAATTTAACTCTGAAAAGCGAGATGGGGAGCTTCAGAAGAAGTAACAAGACAAGGGAGTACTCAATGAATGGCAAGGTATTAGGAAGGTCAAAGGGAACATAGGGACCTTGGACTACTTGTCCACAGACCCAAGCAGGTGGCAGGACATGGTAATAGGATAGTTAAGGTGGCATGGAGGGCACTTGCCTTTATGAGTCATGGAATAGACAAGAGCAAGGAGATTATATTGGAGCTGCATAAAACTTTGGTTAGGCTACAGCTGAAGTACTGGAGGGAATGCAGAGGAAATTTACCAGTATGTTGCCTGGGCTGAAGCATTTTAGCTATGAGCTATTCAATAGGCCAAAAGGCCTTTTCTCTGTTGCATGACTTTAAGACTTTAATGGGCCTTCGTGCCTTGACAGAATACATTGAGTTTAGAAGGTTAAGCCTGATAATATGCTGATTGCTAATCATCATAAATAATGGACTTAAATAATTTTTTTAGCTGTCAATCTTGCTTTGATTGAAGCATTTCTGTTTCTACATCAAGCAATTCAAGAGATTCAAGCCTCACTCCAGAGATTTGAGAACACTATGTATTACATTTTCATGCACTGTTGGAAGTGTGGAGGGCTATCAGTAGTTTATTTGATGAATGATTGAGTTTTCTGAAGTAGTAACAAAGAGGGTTCATGAGTGCAGAGTGGTGGACGTGGTCTATGGACTTCAGTAAGGTGTTCCTCATGGTAGACTGGTTAGCAAGGTTAGATCACATGAAACACAGGGAAAACCACCCGTTTGGATGCAAAACTGGCTCAAAGGTAGAGCACAGAGGATGATGGTGGAGGAGTGCTTTTCAGACTGGAAGCCTGTGACCAGCGGTGTGCCACAGGGATCAGTGCTGGGTCCACTGCTTGTCGTCATTTATATAAATTATGTGGATGTGAACAGAGGAGGTATGGTTAATAAGTTTGCAGATGACACCAAAATTAGAGGTATAATGGACAGTGAAGGACGTTACCTCAGTACAACAGGATCTTGATCAGACAGGGCAATATGCCGAGGAATGGCAGATGGAGTTTAATTTAGATAAATGTGAGATGCTGCATTTTGGAAAGGCAAAGCAGGGCAGGACTTATACAGTTAATGATAAGGTCCTGGTGAGTGCTGCTGAACAAAAAGATCTTGGAGTGCAGGTTCATAATTCCTTGAAAGTGGAGTCGCAGGTAGATAGGATGGTGAAGGCGGCATTTGGTATACTTGTCTTTATTGATCCGTGCAATGAGTACAGAAGCTGGGAGGTCATGCTGCGGCTGTACAAGACATTGGTGAGGCCACTTTTGGAATACTGTGCGCAATTCCGGTCACCCTGCTATACGAAGGATGTTGTGAAACTTGAAAGGGTTCAAAAAATATTTGTTGCCAGGGTTGGAGAGTTTGAGCTGTAGGAAGAGGCTGAATAGGCTGTGGCTATTTTCCCTGGAGTGTCAAAGGCTGAAGGGTGACCTTATAGAGGCATATATCTAAAAATACATGATCGTCAAGCTGAGTATAGAATTTTATAGTACTTGGACAACATAACCCACTCTGCTACACAACATCCCTATAAGGCATTTAGAGACGTAGAGATGTACAGCACGGAAGCAGACCCTCTGGTCCAACTTGTCCATGCTGAACAGATATCCTGGATAAATGTCTAGTACTATTTATCAGCATTTAGTGTATATCCCTCTAAGCCCTTCCTATTCATATACCCATCCAGATGCCTTTTAAATTTTGTAATTGTACCAGCTGCCTCCACTTTCTCCACTCACTCATTCCATACACGCACACCCCTCTGCATGAAAAAGTTGCCCCTTAGATCCCTTTTATATCTTTTTCCCCCTCTTACCTTAAACCTATCTCCTCTAGTTTTTGACTCCCCCATCCTGGGGAAAAGACCTTGTGTATTAATCCTATCCATTCCCCTCATGATTTAATAAACCGCTATAAGGGAAACCAACAAAAATTATAATTTGAAAAAAAAAATTCATTTATGAGAGCATTTAACTGGATTTAAAACATCAATTAAACTTTTCTACTTTTTATTTCTGACCATTAAAATTTAAATTCTTAATTGCACATTAAAGCTTTCATTTTCTTTAACAAAGTACTTGAACAGCATGTTTTTAAGTTGCAATATCAAAAAGAATAAAGTTTGTTTTATTCAGCCAAAGTTATGCCATCAAAATTGCATGCATGTAGAGAAAAATCTGCACTCATTAGTTACTTACTGGATCTCCTAATCTTTCCAAGTTGTCCAGGAAATATTTCACAGATTCTCCCTGGGGGAAAAAAGGGGGGAAAATGCCATTTAGTACAGCACTAGACGTGACTTTCAAATCAGAGCAGACTGAGGTAGCTCTAAAGTCGGTGCTAATTATTCAAATATTCAGAAACTTTATAAATATGAAACAGCTTTACAGTCTTCAAATTGTACATCATTCTTACTCGCTTGAGGATCTGACCAACTAATTATGTGCACAATCCTGTACGCCCAAGTATCTCTGTTTTACTACAATAAAGTTCCTGTACAATTTCAAGTTGCTGCATCATGCCTACAGACAAAAAAAAAAATCAGTTTGAGCACATCCATCAAGAACAATTTACCTTTGTCTATCTTTATGATACATACCAAATACTTTGTTAACAGTTGAAGATAATTGTAAAGTATATTTCAGCAAATAAAATGTGAGAAGTCAAACATTTTAAGACGAATCTATGTATAGGCTTTTAAATACACAACATACACCAACATTGTAAGTCAAAGTTTTCCTCACACTAATTATCTGCAATCTTTGGACATAGAAGAACAGTATTTGTCATCAAAACCAAGTTTATTAGGTACTTCCTCAATTCAATGCACCCCTTCATACCTATGACGGATATCAGTTGGGCAATGGTCAACACGGGAGAAAATGCTTAAGGTTCACTAACGACCTCAGGTTGATTTTCCACATAATACCTTCACCAACCAAAGCGTGAACCATAAAATCTCAATTTGTGGAATGCTTTCTGGATGACGTCTGCTGAATTGATTTCATTTTGATTGCAAAAACATAGGTATCCATCGATACAAAGTACAGAGAAAATTCAACGTGGGGCTTTTTGTATCAATCATTAGTATCTGATTGAAATGTTGAAACATCAGAAATCAGTTGCACCTTGGTGGGGTGGGTAGTACTAATATTTCAAATTAATGGTCTTTCAACAGAATTTGGGTTCTGATAAAAGATCACTAATTTAGGTCTGCCTTGCCTTGTCCACAGATGCTGCTTGACGTACTGAGTGTTTCCAGCACGTCTGTTTTTGATTCAGATTTTCATTATTTCTATTAGAATACTTTTTGCTTCAAATACAGTACAATAGTTCCTTCACTGTCACTGGATCAAAATCCTGGAATTTCCTCCACAAAGTTATTGTAGGTCAAGAGGTTGTGAATCTGTGGAATTCCCTGCCCAGTGAAGCTGTTGAAGCTACCTCACTGAATGTTTTTAAGGCAAGGCTAGATAAATTTTTGAACAGTAAAGGAATTAAGGGTTATGGTGAGTGGGCGGGTAAGTGGAGCTGAGTCTCAAAGATCAGCCATAATCTTATTAAATGGCGGGGCAGGTTCGAGGGGCCAGATGGCCTACTCCTGCTCCTAGTTCTTATGTTCTTAACCTACAGCACGTGGACTTGCAGCAGTTGAAGGCGGCAGCTCACCCCAGTTCTCAAGGGCAACTAGGGGAGGGCAATAAAAGGTGGCCAACCAGTGACACTCACATCCCACGAATGAATAAAAGAATAGAAATTACAGGGTATGGTTTTTACAGATATTTGGAACTATTAATTAAATGAATAAGTTAATGTAGTCTCAAGTTTACCTAATGATCCAAACATATTGTTTGTAATAAGAAATATTTATTTGTAAACACTCTGCAACCCAGAGTACTCGGCGAAGCTGTTTATAAATTAACACAACTTAGAATTCCACTTACTTTAATTTTAGGATTTGTCCTTTCCTCCAATTAGAAATTGGAAAAG